TTAATGTTGCCTTCCATATAGATATTGCTGTGAGTGCAGAAAATTAGCAACAGCATCCAACTTCAAGCAATGAAATCTTGACATCCTTTTTCAAAACACATCCAAAGCACMAAGGACACCACAGGGATAGATTTTAATCCAGACGAAACAAGGCATTCCATTTCTCTTAGGCCAGTACAATACACACACCCTTCTTTTTCTCCAGGCAGCTACTGTTTGTATACAGTTGTTTTACCTTTAGCTGACATCAAGCTGGTCATCCCTGCCTTTTTCCTCCTGGATCTTGCCTTCTAGATGCAATCTTCCAGGCATTAACTGCAGCAGTCCAGAGGAAGTCACCGCCAGCAAAGTCGAGCAGCAAACGGGGCGGGAGCCCATGTTTGCCCTGTGACCTGGAAGACATCCTCCAAAGGCACAACGCAGAGGCTGCTTCTGCAGCATGACACATTGTGGGGCCAACGTGCTACTGTGAGAGGCAGGGCACGACAGGAACTTTTTATCTATACAGGTCTAGCATGCAGCCCCGTTAGGCTGATCATGCCCCTCCTGCACATAGGCAGGTGTACAGGACTCACCCGGGAGCATSTGTCACCGTCAAGTCAGGCATCAGGGAAAGCCTCGAGGTGCGTGCAGCAGACACAGGCCTGCACAAAGAAATCTGTCATTAGTCACTGCTTTCTTAGAAGGCAGAACCCATTTTTTTGACTTTTACTTATACCTACCCTTTCACCAGCTAGTTGTACTGCTCTAATGCTCTACATCAGTATAGAATCGCTCTCACCTTCATCCCAAGCCGCCACTCGTCTTCAGCCTGACCGGGCTGACAGAAAGCCATCCATAAGGTCCATCATCACACCGGTCAGCCTCAAGGATCTTGAGGATCTTGGATTACACCACACGCATGCAGCCTGCCTTCAGGTTAACRTGCACCTCTTCCCCCCACCTCCCAAGTTCCATAGATGCTTTGTTGATTCATCCACATAATTTCCTCAGACCGCAGATCCATGTAAATGGCATTCTGCAAGTCTGCCTCTCCGCGCTGAATAGATGCATCTAATAAAAGCTTTTTAACCTCAAAATAGCTGCTGTAACAGCTGCTTTTCAAAAAAATACCAGAGGGACCTATTTCATCCTCCTCCTCCTCCCTAGCAATAYATATCTATGTTCTGGAGACTATGAATATTTGGAAGTAGGGATAGTCATTTGTTTTTATGGGCTGCATCAAATGGAGGATTTAAAACAGTTGGAAGGTTATAGAGCACAGGGAGGAATGAGGAAACTTSGTTTGCCTCCTTGGTAACAGAATCTACAGCACAGCAGGAAAACCAAGCATGGTAATTAGGGAATTACAGCTGTTAGTCACAGAAAACATGCTGCAGTTGCAGGTCAGAGACCCGAGGTCACAACCCAGGAAGCAAAACTGTAATTTAGAGTCTGCAAGGAACTCGCCGCATGCGCTGGGCTTCTGGCTACTTATAGCAGCTCTACACCTGTTTTTCCAGGGCAGAAATCAGACAGGCAAAAAACACAAACCAGAAATGAGCAAGAAATAGAGTTTGTCTAGCAGTCTTAYGGCTTAAAGGATGCAAAAACCTGCCTTTTTAAAGAACTTTTTTAGTTAAAAGGATAGTCTGTCAAACTGTTCTATCACCTTCTGATAACTGCTCCTAGAAAGAATTAGAAAATCAAAATGCCAGTCTAGTTTCTCATATTTTGAGGACAATACTAGTTCACTTTCACAGCTGTGAGCCAAGAACAGTGGTTAACCTCCCATCAAACATACCTCAACTCCAAAGCATCTACAGCCTTAAGGCAGCTCTAATCACAATTTGCCCAAAGGCAGTTTAAACCAAAGCCATGACTTACAGCAAAAGCATTTGCTAGGCACCTTCTGCAAAATAGTTTTCAGCACCCCTTCTTTCAGTGGGGGCCACGGGCACCACCTCTCAAACACAGCCTGTGCTGCAGCTTTCTGTGCACCAAAACTCAGCTGGCTTCAGCGGCCCCACAGCTAYGTGAGCTCAGCCTCCGGAGACACCCCAGTGCCCACTGGGGGATGGCATTTCAGCAGGACAGGCACATGGGGGTACTTCCCTGTCACATGCCCAGAGTCATAACAGACTGTACCCCAAACACCTTGAACACTGCACCCATATCCATGGGAAAAGCACATAGCCTTATCAAAGGGCTGCAGAAGCCMCGTTTCAAAGTCTTTTTAGAGACTTAAGGAAATTCACAGGAACATGCTTGCACCATACTGATACACATGACGCACATAAAAGCTGGTCTCGCTTCCGGAGATATGCACTCTCCTGGAGTCTTTAATTACAGGCCATGCTCTATAACATTCCTTCTTTATCTTTCACTAGAGGGAGTATTTCAATTCAGTTCTCTACATCTCCTCCACCCTARCTCCTACAAGGGTGATGTTTAGCTCTGCAGCCCTCCGTAGAGCCTAAGTCTCTCATTCAAATGACAGCATGCCACACAAATCAACCAGGGAATTTCAGGCAGGAGGATGTGTCAGCACCCCAGAGCCCAAGCCTCCAGTTCAAGCAGCTACTGCATTAATTCACTTACCAACCCTAGCAGGTCTGCAGCATCCCAGCAGGAGCTYGCAGGGCTGAGCGGACACCTGGGCTTTGGGATAACACCCAGCCTGCCACAGGCCAYGAGCAGGCTGACTGCCACACCTTGCAGGTTATCAGGAGGCCTGACCAGCACAAACCCACACCTGAAGGAGTCAGCAAGCCTCTTCTTCCTCAGGGAGCTCTCCTGCTGCAGGAGCCAGGCCTCACTCCAAGTTCACTGCCACCTGAACAGTTCACTCAGCTGGAACAGGCCAAGTCACATCAAGTGACTGACTCAAAGTTCCTTTCTTCCCCATTTCTAATTTAGGCTGGCAAAGGCAAATAGGCTCCCCATCCATGCGCTCAGCCTTACTGAGCTGTGACACCCATCAGATAAGGGACTGATGCAACTTGGGACCTTTTTTCCTTTTAACACAACTAGCATAATCCAAGCTGCATCTCTCTCTTGCTGCTTCTTCTTCACAGGGGGCACTTGGGCATAATGATTTGAAGGCATTTGATTCTGAAGCCTTGCACAAAAAGGTAATCTGCACTGCAGAGCCCTGGGCAGTGACTCATCCCGGGACAGTCTTYGCTCCCGGCCTTTCTTGTCAGTACCTGTGCGATCCTTTCCCCGGGCCACGGGAGGGTTTGCCACGTTTTGGCACAATACAGCCGATACACCTCASTTAAGCTCCAAGTCAAGCCTGATCGTGCCAATGCCCGATACCGTTTTTAGCAAGTGGACATCTGTCCTTCCCCAGATAGCTCCTAGAGAGGAGGGTCCAACCGGCAGCTCTTTCTTTGGGAGCTTTTGGCTGGCACTATACACACTCCATAGTGAAGTAGTGACTTTGTGCTTCTGATTGATAAATATCACATCACACCACTGCTAAATAGACCTGGCGACTCCTAGCCCAATTGTTTTGCACCCTCACCCATTTCCCTCTGAGCAGCTGAAGTATCTTAAATGAAACTGACCCAAGATAAATCTAGTTTTATTACTGAGCAGTGATGGGCTTGGGGGACAGAGACACATAATTTGGCATTTCATAGGAAATGAATACAGAGAGCTACCAGAATATTCACAAGGTACTGAGCTAATAAGATGTAGTCAAAAACATAARACTTCTGCAACATTTTACCAGCTGCTGCGAAGGGAGAGCTGTAGCATGAGCCTGTGCATTTAYACCAGCTAACTGAAAGCTCCAGGCACTAATTCCACCCAAAAGACCCCAAACAGACACATTCAAGGCAGCCAGAGAAAGCCCCGACAAGCCCATTAAGCACAACAGCTAGAGTTTCCGCAAGATACTATATYGTTTCTTTTACAGTCACTCAAATAGCTGGGCCAAGAGCCCCAGTCCAAGAGACAGCCCAAACACAGAGCTGAAGCTCGTGTCAAGAGCAGCCTATACTGCAGCAGTCCCAACTCCTTCCAGTCCCCTTCATACTTTAACTAATCCACTGAGACTAGTCCGTTATCTGAACTTAACTACCTGCCGTCTTAAAAACAAAACTAACGAAGAAACCCACGCTAAGTCAGTAGGGTTAACTGGCTAACCCAGTTTGAGTTTCTTTTTGCATGCACTTAGCTGAGAAATCACCTTTGCCTGCCAGAGATAAGTTTAGGCATCTGCTTCCTTCAAGTGCTTCATTCTTGAGACGGGAAGTCCCTGGAGCTCTCTGCCTCACTTCAACTGTTTAAAGAACAGGGAAACAAGCAACACAAACAAGCTTCTTAGAAGAAGACAGATCTGGACCTTGTGCCATTTAGGGGAGAAATCACTTTTTAGGGGAGAAATCAAGTTCACCTTTAAGCATCCTCATCTCTGTGCTGTCACATGKGGACAGAGGACCAGAACAGGCCAAAGCATAGCCTTGCACAGCCTGCTGAGGGCCAGGCTACCCGATAGCCAGGCTGAGAACAAGCAATGCCACTCATGTTTCTGCAGTGTCAGTCTGGATGACATCTTGCAGACAAAGGCCTACCCAGGAGATTGTTTGGGGGAAGAGCATGGCTTGACAGCCTGAGCAACAGACCAGAGGCTTCTACCACAAGCTCYTTGCTGTCATTTAACTGCTCCTTTCAAATGGACCTGAGACAACCACAATGAGTGCACCTGAACAGCRTGACTTTGCCCAGCTGTGACTTCTTGGTGCCTCGGGTTCTTCTGTTGGAAAGACTTAACTGACACTTTACAAGACCTCTCAGCAGGGTAGTGCCAAGGCCTCTATGGACACCACCTGAGCAGACAGCTCCATGCTGAATGCTTGTAAAGATCCATGAGCCCTATATGTTCTACTAGCCAAGCTACCTCCCTCGCAGCACCCTTCTCTCCTCTGGGGATCTCCCATAGRCACCAATAGAAGCACACAGTCTAGCCACCTACCCCCATGGTGTGGGCATTCCTCACGCCCTCTGGCAGCTGAGTGTGACACGGATCACAGGTAGCTCTGTTACTCCTTCCATGTTCAAAAGCTAGCCACAGACTTGCCAGGATCACATAGGGATTTCCTTCAAGTTGAGGCACCCTCCTCACTCAAGGGCCAGCAGTCTGTGCCTTCACTACAAACCTGTAAAGAGGGGAGAGAATACAGACCATACGTGTCCCAGACACACTGGGGCAGCTATAGAAAAGCCACAACTCTGACTGTAGACTAAGAACTGCTGCTGCCCCAGAAGCACTAACCTCCTGGTCATGGAATAGGATCTCTTGTGGATTAGGTAGATGCACAATACTCAGCACTATAGATGGACRTGTGGCCTCTATGCTGCAAGACTGCAATTGAAGATGCTAGATGAAACCAGAGCTATTTTACCTCCTTAGACTCCTCTGCAAGTTAAGCRGTGGCTCTTAATGCAAAAAGCTATTACCAGAATTAAATACCAGCGAGAGCTCTCTGAACACTTGCTAAGTGGCAGCCTATGCTAGACATCAAGGTATTGGCAAAGTAGTACTTGCTATTCTGCTCAGAAGCCTTCAGAGATAAGAAAACAAGTCTTGAAAAGCATGACTGAAGCCTTAGTCCCTGGAAGAGTTGGGGGAAAATAAGAAAGTCTGGTTACTTAACCRTCACGATGAATATTATCTAATGGAAGAGAATTAACTTGAAGGGAACACTGCAGCTCAATGAAATTCCACTACACTTTATTAGGTGTGTCCAATTACTTCCAGTGTAAGTCAACTAAACAGTTTAAGACAGGTTAGCAGAAAGTTAATCCAGCTGTATGACCAAGCAAGGGAAGATCAGTTTCCCACGAAGCAATCACAATTTGGAAGCAACTTCAGGGAGTTCTCAGACCCTGAAAGATCCTTTGGGCCTCCCACCTCCAACACTGATAAGACCCAGAGCTCCAATGACAGTGCTCAATATTAAGTTGGTAGAACAGTGTTTTATTCCCAACGCCACCGGAACTAGCCTCAAAACACACTTTGGAGCTACACAGCAGCTGCGGGAAGATGTCACAAGCCACCTAGTAGCCAGCACCTTCCTCCCAACTCCCTGCCACTAACCGTCACAGCCCTATGGCAGTTCCAGTAGGAGTTAGCACTGCACACCCATGTCAGGGAAAAGGGGGATTGACACCATGCACCTCTACCACTGGTGCAACTTTTGGGTCAATTTGAGTTTGGTTCTCATCAAAAACTCCCCATGAGTTCAGAGTTTATCTAACCCCTACAGACGAAGCCACAAGTTTTTCCTTCTAGAAAAACCTGGCAGTACAAAAGGGTCAAGACAAGTCTATTGCACCAGCATACAGAACGTGGAGAGCCTCATCCTACCTGCCATGCCCAACATCAACAGGACATACATCTTGTTCTGAAGCTGCAGTAGCCATGAGACATGCAACCAATCTGAGGGACGACTTCTCCACACCAAGCACAAGTGGACTGGCCTACATGATAACCTGAGGAAACAGAGCATGAAAAAGCCTTGAACTTGCAGTAACTGCAGAACTGCAGTGAACTGCTTCTGCATGGATGCCCTGAGGCTAAAGAGCACTCCCATCTCCAGAGCCCCACCTTCTATCTTTGCTAGGCTTGAGGTTTTCCATCTCTCAGAAAGAGCTGGACCTATATGGGGTGCCAACAGGAACCCACRGGGCACCTACGAACAGTCCTTCCAGGGCTGTCCGCATCCTCCCCTGCATTTTGGTGGTTTGGGCTGGGACGGAGAGGGCAGAGCAGTTGAGTGAAGTTCAACCATCTGGAACAGCGTGATGAGCCCACACTTGGCCTCGCTGTAGCTGGGCGAAACTGGGCTGCGTGCCCCATTCCCCTGCGGGCTGTAAATGCCTGACAAAGATCCAAGGAGACRCTTAGAAGCCCCCCAGGGTTTCTCAGACCAGCCTGTCACTTAGGATAAGAATCACAGAAGAAACAGCTCCACCTTACCCAAACTGTGCATTGAACATAAGTCAGTCAAGCGCCTCAGTGTTTCCACTCGACCTACAATTGTTTAGCCAAGAAGCTGAAGCACACAAGTAGGCCACAGGTTTTTAGCTTAAGATCAAGAACATATATTCACCAGAAATGCTACCAAGACCAAAAATAACAGAGCAGGTAGATGTATGTTTCACATACAGCTAGGTTAAAGTTTCATTTAAGGAGAAGCTTGTCATCATATCCCTCTGACATTTTTTCAGTCACAGTAAGAAGACTCAGACTTTTGTGACAGGAAGCCCATTCTTCAAAGCAAGGTTTGGGGCCAGTTACAATAGTGATTATAAATATTGCTCGAGCCATTACTACAAAACACTTCTAGAGCAAAGTCAGAGGTTTTAATACCTCAAGATGCTCCTAACTCCTTAAATTGAGACTACCACATCAAATGTGGATGAGAAACATGAATGCCTCCAAGGGGCTGTGCACTAGATACCCGCATTGAGCTGCATGCCAAAAATGATTGTCACTAATGCCAGCCCAGATGAACAGAATTAGAGCACTGTAGATGGTGTTCTCCTAAACAGGAATACTTCTCAGACCTTTAGAGAAAGTATTTCCCCCACATTGGGGGAAAAACCTCTCCTCACCCCCGGCATTGAGGTCCAAGCCATCACAACAGGCCTCACCCAGTGGAAATCCTGAACAAGAGGATGAGAGCTGCATGACACACCATTGTGCATAGAAGAAGTCCTGGAGTGGTAAATCTCACACTCCAATCTGCATTCACACAAAAAAAAAAACATCAGTTGAGCGGCAGAAGCAAGTTTAAGATGAAGTTTACCATTACAAGCTCCTAGATCCAAGTTGCTTGACCAGACTTGACTCAGTAAGGGTCCAACAACCGCTCTCTGCTTAACTGGCCGTTAGGTTTCATATTTGGCACTTGAGATATGCAGGTTATACAATTCCCAAAAGAGACTCCTGTAAAGATAGAGGAAATACATGAATGCAATAATCATGCCCTGGGTGAGGCAAAGCCAGTTGGCAACACCGAGCTAAGATCCCCTGTGACCACTGGCAAAAGTATCAGACCAACTCTTGCTTTTACTACCCCTTCTCTTATCCATTCCCCAGAGCAGACCCAGGTAGACAAGGACATCGATGGGTTCTAGGCATTGCTTCAGAGCACACAAGTTTCAGAAGATTCAACAACAAAAACTACCAAGAAGTAGGCAACTTTCTACAACTAAGTCCCAAGCAGTACAGCAAAAGCCTCTTGGACTTGGAGCTTTTTGAATGGGCAGTATGCACCTGCAGTCTGTACCAAACCTCCTTCCCTTGTCTTTCAGGGACCATTAGCAACAAGCAGCAGCAGGACAGATGCGACAGAGCATCACAAGCTCTGTAAGGTTCCATGGCTTGTCCCTGAGGTGGCTGCAGACTTCAGGATTAGGTCTGGATTGCCAGGACTAGATATTAGCTTTCAAGCACAGCCTGCTCTCTCYCCCAGACAATTTTGCTCAAAAGACTACCGTTTTTTGCCCCACACTCTTCCTTGGGGCTGACATGATGAGCTGTCTGAGGGCCCTGGTGCAGCAGCAGAAGGGTGTTGGTAGGGGATGAGCACGGTTTGTGCATGAGCTCAGTGGAATCAATCCTYGTTTCTGAGCAAGTGCTCATCCTTGAGTAATTGCTTGGCTGCTGGCAGCAAAAGGCTCACTGCACTATGAAACAGGTGGTCTAAAAATCACCCCCTTTCCTCGAGTCTGCAGATCCTACCAGCTAAGCAGGACTCATGCAGCAAGAATTTCCCCACTTATTTCATTGCCATGTTTCTGCCAGCAAGGGAGAAGCAAGGAGACAGGGTGGCTGGCTGSTCAGTACTTTTGCTCACTGCTTCCATGGTGCGTTTGATCAAACAATAAAGTGCCACCGAATTTGCACAAGCCTTAAATCAGGAGGCCTCACAACACCCCCACGCAGCTAAGAAAAGGACATGGGCTCATGCCACCCACCACTGAAACAGACACCTCTGGGCTGGAGCCGAGCAGCTGCGTGATACCCCACAGCAACACTTCACAGCAGTTTAGGGTAGAAAGTKATTAACCTTTGGCTGAATCCCCTTAGCTTCAGCATGCAGAGCTGGCTCTGTTTTGCTCTCCACCCCCACCTGCACAACTCTGCTGTTCTCATTACCTGAGACAGTAGCTCCCAGGCTAGTGGAGGACCTTGCTTCTGGGCTATTTAGTCAAACATCCCTTTTGACTCTTACCGCTAATCCAAGCGGCRGCAGCCAGGTAAATGAGTTTCCACAAGACAGAGCTGTAGCACCCTGCATCTGCTCACCAGTCAGGGCAGGCACTCACACCCCAGTCTCTTTAGGGTGAGTTGGGGCAAGCTCCTGTGCACAGATCCCTAGGGAATGCTTCAGACAAAGAAAGGCACCTCTCTGTTCATTGCCGAAGTCCTTCCACATTGGCAGGAAGCTTGGCACTGCATTTCCTGTGCTTATGCAGAGCCTTTATCTCCAGATCCTGACCTAGGACACAGTGTACCAGGATTTAATCTCCAAGCTTGGTAGCTAAAGCCTGAAACTCCCAGTAGAGCCATGTGTCCCTTAAGTTAAGCCTTGGATGAGCATCTTGAAACAACTCCAGAATTACACAGCAGATAAAGGCAGAACCAACAATATGACCCCAGCCTGACTCACCAGGTGGGATACATCCCACCTTGTCCCAGACAAACTCCCAAGCWCATCTGCCTCGTAGCCAGAGAGGGGACTCATCTCAACCCAGGACTACATGTAACACAGGCTTGGGAAATCCTGCCCCTGACAGGCCAGTTTGTCTGCTGTGTAGGCAGCCTCCAGTCAGCTAGCTAGCCCAGAGACATCTAAGCTCCTGCAAACTGCTTCTGTGGCCATCCTTGCAACCTACTGTCTCTGTAGAGTCAAATTCATCTCTGTAGGGTGAAAACTGAAGTGTTACTTCCCTTTCTTAAAGTTCTACCACCTCGCAAGAATATTCTAAGCAGGAAGAAATCATCCTGCACAAACCATTAATATGCTACCAGTGGCCTTAAAGGCAAAGGAATCCATAAAACCTCTAAACATTCTTTGAGGCTGGTACCCTAGACAGGATTCGCAGTTGAGGGAACAGCTTCATGTCAGCCCCCGCAAACCGACCTTGACAAAACAAGGAAACATTTGCACATTACAGCCATGTTTCTGCTCTGAGTAATCCAGCACTYCAACTTAATGCTCCATTTTGCTGGTGGAAGAAAACATCTTATGTTAATACATTAAAAACAAATAACTAAACCACATTAAAATTATATTGGAGAGATTTTTTCAGTCCATTTAATAAGATCCTTCTACCCATGGAATTTCACTCTTGTTCATCGTCACGTCTCTCCCGCATAATTGGCAATTATACACATTATAAACACATAACACTTTCCAATACATCAGAAGTAAAGTACGTATTCTTAGGCTGAAAAATGARGAAATATTTTTGTGGGAAACAGCCTAGCATGGATCTTTTACAGTCACTCACGTTTCAGTGAAGASAGAGCGAGTGGCTCTACATTTCCAGGCAACTTACCTTACAATAAAACCTTCCTTTCTCTTACTGCCAAAGGAGAGAGCCTGTTGTCAAGCCCCATGTATCACCACCACGGAGCARGTCTCCCAAAAGTCAGTACCTGCAGATGTGGCTCGCTGCACACAGGTACAAAAGCGGACGAGAGCTGCCCGCCAGCCAGGGAGGGAAGGCGTCCCATGCTCCTCGTCAGGGTGCCGTTACGTACAGAAAGCGCTCGGCAGCTCTTTGGAAGAATCACACTAAGAAAACAAAGCCTAGAAAAGAGCCAGAAATGGGAGTCATTAGAATGACAGRTCTGTAAACAGTTCTACTAAAAAGCTTGTAAAAAAGCACAACACTGAGCTTGTAGAGATTTATCATCTCTAYGTTGCTCGTCTCACAGCTCAATGGAAGCCTTATAAAGGCAGACACAAGTAACTCAAGAGAAAGACACCAGGGTCTCATCTTTGACTTACAATAAGCAAGGTACCTCATCTAACTTCTTTGCATCTCAGACAGTGCACTAAGAAGGGTATCTATCCAGTAGATAGGTACTAGTCGATAGACCAATCTACTGGATTCAGTCATTTAAGCCATAGCTTCAGGAAAAGGGAAGCCAAAATATCCTAAGAGACCAATGAAAGGCTCAAGAGTCCAGTGGAGGGAAGATACTGACTTCTCTAACAAAGTGCCTGTTTCTAGCCCAGGTGGATGGAGAGATGCAAACTGCAATAAYAGGCTTTTGAGTTGAGCTAATCACTGTCTGTGGATTCAGTCTTCCTTTGCCATAGCAAGGGTCAAGAGGAAAAGCAGAAACACAAAGGATAAACTGAAGTTCTACCAGGTCTTTGAAGCTCTCCAGCCACATGTTTTTCAAGGATCCCCAGGCAACAGGAGAAATGTGATATCCAAGTTCGTATAGCACATGGCTCTGCAAACGTGCCCAGAATTAGCACATTCACATGAATAGAAGCRTAGATATTGAAGCAGGCCATATATCCAGCCATATTTATACTATGCTTGTTAGTACTTAACATTCACAGAAAACCCTKTCTAGTTTCTCTGCAAACCCTGCAATCTTAGGTTTGCTCATTATACTAATTAGCTTATGAGTAAAAGTCTGCAATAGTTCAAGTTCAATCCCCCTCTCCCCAACCAAAAAAAAAAATCACAAACCAARATGAAACAACCAAAACAAAACACACCAGCCAGCCACACCTGCACCTCACTAACCCCTCAGGAAGGCAGCATGTCACTCCCCACTCCCAGCACTCCAGCAGAGCTATCTATCCAGCAACCTATCCCCTCAGCTAGTTCTCCAGGATACAGCTCAGTCCCTCAGCAGAAGCCCAGCTTTGAGGTAGCACACCCCTGCCTCAAAACTCAAGCCCAAATAGGAACTCATTTTACTCACAAAGTTACAGTTGATGAACAGCTTCTCAGGGTCCTGAGCAGACCAGTTAGCGCTCCCAGGCAGCGGACAATGCTTAAATCTCCAGGGCAGTTCATGCCCAATGCTCAGATGAGCAAGCTGGGTGCTCAGAGGTGAGCAATCGCATGGCATAGACTTCACCACTGGTCAAGAACCCATTTGTCTGACAGGATTGCAGCACTTAGGTTGACATCCGAGGACTGCAGCTTTGAGACACAAGCAGGATGGCTTGAAGAAGGTTTCTCCCAAGGTAAGGGGGACACTGTGCACTCCCCGTCCCAGCAAGCAACCTCCAGCAACCACACAGCCAGGCACATAGGCTGCCCCAGTTTACCCAGGGCATGCAGCAATTCTCCYGCTAGTGCAAAACCTGGGAGCAAACAAAGCTCAGGAGATGCATTCAGCCTGGTGTTATTTGACAAGGCTGCAAACAAGCATTAAACTAGTGCAAAACTCATATTTAACAACTCCAAAAAGCTCCTGGAACATCTACAGAGTGCTCCTTCATTCCTGCTTCCCCTTACATGGGCAGGTGCAGGCAGTAAGGCAGGAGTGTAGAAAGAAACTCTTAACCCTCCAGACAGCATAGTCTCCCAAGCCRGCGTTGTGGTCAAAGAGCAGAGTCAATATACCAGCCCTTTTTTGTCTGTCATCATCCCGGCCTTATTGTCATGGGCTTTGCTTTGTTCGCTCCGAGCGGGCATGCTCAGATTCCCAGGCACATGCCAGCAAGCCTGCTGGCACGCCGCCCATCCTAAGCGCCGTGTAGGCAGGGTGGCGCCTCCAATACTTAAAACAATATTTAGTGTTTTACATCATCGTGGGCCTGCGGATTGCTTTGCAAATCCATGAAGTAACAGGGGATCAGCATGCGTTTCACTAATGCTACACCAGGAAATAATGCATAGGGAGACAAATTAGTGTGGAGCACACAAAACAGCAGCTACCATCAGCTTATAGAACAGCAGGTAGCCTGCAAAACTCAGCTCATTCCAGGTTCCATTGTGCACCTAACAATGTACTKGGAGAAAAGCACATATAGAAGGAAAACTGTGGAAGCAGCAGATGCAGCTCTAACCTCTCAAAGGGGATCCTTGAAGAAAGTCCTTTYGGGAACTGCTTGAATGAAATATTGCTCAAAGTTCACTAATAAGGCCATTATAATCATTGTTTTCAGAAAAAGCACAATTACACRTTTACAACTGAAGTGTATGTCTCAGAGCACATCAGGATAGCCCGAGAGTGCTGCACTTGCAGATACTTACACTACAGACCTCACCAGCAACCTCAGGATTGCCCTTGTAGGATATCTTTGGAATTGATCTTCCTGTCMCTGAAGTCAAACAATCTTAGCAAGACCCCTGGAAGCATCACAAAAAAAGTCCAAGAAGAATATCATAAGTGGGGAGAAAAAGATGGTATTTAGGAGCAAAGAATGCTTTAAATCACAGAATTTGCCCCAGTGCACAAATAAACCTTGTTACTGTCATTAGTCAAGTCAGTTCTGCAAGATGAGAGTCAGACATTCTTTGACTGCCTTGGGTATCTGTTACTGGTGAAGATAGCTGCATGGGCTAGAACTGCTTCCAGCACATAAGTTTGATGACTGAAGAGTCTGCAGTGGACAGTCAGGCCTACAAACACCAGAGGCAACCAATAATCCAGAGCAAAATTTCCCTAATTCTACTCATAAGACTAAATTATAAAAAAAGAAGTCAAGTCTTGATCCTTCATCACAGCTCCTTACTTGTTGCTTAGGACTAATGGATTGAACACTGCAGGTACCTTAACTGCCTCTTCCTGGAGCTGCCAGGTACACAGAACCATATCAGCCATTTCACACAAGTCRTTCCAGGCAACCTCAACTGCATGGGGCACCTCAACTCAACCCTGCAGAACCCAATGCCGTGCTTTTATTTAGGAAGATGTGAAAGGTGAAAAAAATCTCCCAAACTGAAGGAAAGCTCAGTTTCAGACGGCACTGTGCTTCCTTCATACTGTTAGGGAATTCGGGTCAATCAGGCTTTTCTCTTACCTGYTCAGGCACCAAACAGCAAAGTTACTCATACGGCTCTAGTTTTCAGCTGAAGCTTGTTCAAAGGAAGTTTCATCCTCTACTCTTCGATAGCAAGATTCTCCTCAGTATGGCAAGAACATCCTTCAACAAGACAAGGATCAATCTAAGTGTTAAGATCAACTGCTTAACCCTCCCCCTTAGGTGACTCTTCATATTACAAAGAAGCAGAGAAGACTTTCAATAAAACATGTTCTACTGCCATATCAGAGCAAGGGTTAGTACCTCAAGTATTGTACAGTCAGCTTTTTGCACTGAGCTGTTCTCCAGTTAATGGTATTTTAATATTATTTTTGCCTGTAGAGGCTTCCAGCTGTTGTAGAACGTAGGCTACATGTAAAGCAACACTTGTGCTTGAAGTAGACATAGTCTTACCCTATGAGTCCACAATTATTTCCTCTCAAATTTGATGGGGACACGTGTGTTACTTTATAGTGTGATCCATTCCACCTGTGCTCCAGCAAGGTAGGTAATCCAATATTGTCCCASTTTCATAGGAATCCAGGCTATTTGAATTAATAGCATACAAGTATAGCACTTGCCATAAACACTGAACAGTTGCTTTATTGCACTTGTCAAGTGCATTCCTCTCTTTGGTCACAGCTATGGTCAGACAAAGAATTCAAGAAAAAATGAACAAGCTACTCACAATAAAAAGGAAGGCAAAGTCACAGAACCAGAGAGTTTTGAGAATGCATCACATACTGACTAAGAAAGAAAACATTCTGGAAAAGCCTAAGAAACCAAATACATGCAAGTTCCTTACAGCTCCCCAGCCCTTGTTCAACMTATCTCCCACAGGGGAATTTGCACTGGGGATACTCTTCTCTTCCACTTACTCCTCCGCTCCATTGAAGTACACACAAATATCTGAGCACCTTGGCAAGCACTTCAGTTGCTTTTACCAAGCATTTTTGCACTCTTTCCAGCTTTAGGTGCTCTGTCACACCAACCAGCTTTGAGAAAGCCCTAGCCATCCCAGTTGATCAACTTGACAAACTTAAGGACCACTTGAAGGTGGGAGCTACTCCCTGGGTGCAGGTGGCCAGGGGAAGTGACTAGGCATTAACAGAGGGTGGGATGGGGAACAAAGACAAAGGAATTCCATCTGGAGAAGAGGCAATGGACATGACACAGGGCAAGAGCTTGTCCTACTGAAGAAGAAATGAGAAGGAAGGATAATAGGAATAGCTATGCACATACAACATCATTGTTGAGGTTCTTGCCCAGCATGGCTTGCACAAATAGAACCATCCATACTAGGCTTAGCCTCAAGCCCCAGCCTACCCTGCAGAGCAGAGGGCTGCTGCACCCATGCAGAGCACAGTTTAAGCGGACAGACCCTCCCCAAGCTGCCAAGCTTCAAAACACATCAGCCTAGCTAGTCTGGCTGCAGGACAAACACCAAGACACCAAATAAATCCCATTTCTTCAGCAGTAGTAAGAGAAAAAGGCTGGTAGTAGTCATTAAGATGAATCTTTGATCCTTCAGCTGTATCAGCTACAACTGATCTGAAAGAACTACACACCTGCTCTAGTAGACACATGCAGCTTGCCAGAGCTCCATAAAACCTGTAGCTTAGTGTTTTGAGACAGCAAGGTGGCACAGAGCATAATTTTGTCTGCTTTTACTGCACTGACCTCTGAACCTTACTCCTATAGTTTGAGAACCAGCTCTGTATTTAGACTCATGACACCACAGCAAGCACCTCTGTCAGAGRAGCAGAGAGTCATTCCTCTGGGTGATTAGCACTGCCATCAAGGAGGCTGTGGAGGCGGTGGGGGGAAGCCTATTGCCCCCAGCCTGAAACAGGTGCACACTCCTGCCACAGCCCAACAGGTGTCCTGGACACCGCTCAGGACAGCGCTGCCAACTTACCTACCTGCAAGGGCAACACTATCCTACAGGAGACTTCCAGCAGCTTGATTTCATCCCAATAGTTTCTGTCAAAGGTTTGTTTTCTCCCAGGAGGAGAGAGGAAGGTTTTTAACTAGTGTGCTAGGATCTCAGCAGGACATACTACAGGAAGATTTCTATTCTTAAATAGAAATTAAGATGTTGTATAAGATAAAGCTAAGTTGAAGTCACCAAATAAAATAGAATTTCTTCCCCTTTTGGTCTGCCAAAGCCTAGCCAAGAATTCCCCCCCGTGTACAAATTAAGAGTCATAATATAGACTAATGCTCACAAAGTTCATTAAAATGAGCAGTTTAAGAATGTTTCAAAACATGCCATCCTTGTCAGTCATGGATGTGCTTTAATAATCCTGGAAGCCCCAAGATGCACACAAAACACTGCTGAACGTTGCCTGTTACTTGAGAAGGAAAGGGACCCTCCAGCATATTAGCATTTTGGCCCTGAGCCAAGAGAGCACTTAAGCACATGCTTAACTTTAAGCACATGAGTGCTCCCACCCACATAAAAGGTCCACTTCTGCACTGAAAATTTAGCATCTGCAAAAATACTTTACTGTATCAGCTTCTTTGCTCACCATCTTACAGGATTACATCCTATCAAGTGACTGTTTGGAAAAAAATACTACCTAAACAGAAGTTGACTTGAGGCTGGATTGTTGGTGTCCAAAAGCTGCCCGGGCGCACGTGTCACTCCCCTGTGGYGGGGAAAGTCCTCCCTGCTCCCACAACAGCTGCACACCAGCCAGGAGCCTCTCTTGAGGGCAGCATGTGCTTAAGAACTATTTAACCCAACCAAAGGTTTGCCTACTTCGCTAAACTGGAGTGCAAATCTAACAAAACCCCCAAAATAACAGCTCTGTCACAAGGCACTACACTGCATTTCTCTTAAGGTGTTGCTCCCAGTTAACACCAAGGAGCCCATCAAGGTGTTAACCAGTAGAACAGCAATCTACTCCAGACTGCTGGCTTTGGAGAAAGCCCTTAAGGACTTACCTGGATTATACAGGCACAGCTGGCAAGGGAGAGAATAAAGCACCAGTGTTACTGCCCTATGCTCTGCTTCTACAGGCTAAGAGCTAGTTAGAAACAAGTGGCACACACAGACCAAACTTGGGTTCTGGCTTCCTCAGCAGAGGAAAACTTACTATCCTTATCCTCCCAGGTATAGGTGCATTTGGGAAGAGGGAGCCAAGCAGCCACAGGCAGCTCTCGGGCAGGAACCTGGAGGTGTTAGCAATGAGGCAGCAACCTGGCCACCCACCATGCAGGTTTCCTACCTGCTGCTCCAGTCTAGCCACCTCCACTGCACTGCAGGGCACCCCACACGCCAGACACCAGCGCCCGCCTGTCAGCCCTGGTGATTTGTGACACATGAAAGGGCCGCAGGAGCTGCCGTCCGTGGCCTGGTGTCACTCCTGGCTGTGTGTGTTCCAGCTGCTGCTTTGCACCAGACATGAGTTTTACAAGTCAATCGGCTGTGCAGTACAACAAGGGGTACCTGGGGTGCCCTTTAACATTGCTCTTCCAGAGCCTAAGCTGTTTGACATCTTAGGCACTGATTGATAAATCAGACTGGAATCACAGCCTCAGTGCTAACATCAGGGCATGCAGCAACTGCCCAAGTGAGACTGGATAAATAGTTTAATATACATGTATGACCAGGCCAAGCTTCTTGCTCAGTATCTGCTGCAAATTGAATGCAGGATGGGTGTTACTGCTGATCAGGTACACAAACCATGTCACCAACTAAACACACAGCCTCATTGCTTCCGACAGCAGGCTCCAAATTGCCCACCAAAAAGGGCCTTCCTGTTTCTTAGCTGGACTACTTCAAAATGAAAGAAAATCATTCCTGCATAGAGATTCAACATACAAGTCTGTTCATCTAGCAAGATCAGTGCATGGGTTAGAGAGATTAAAACTGTTGACCTAACTGAAATGAATGAAGGCCATCTCCTGTACTGTTTTTGGCTGGCAGCTCCCAATTTCAAGGAGAAATAAGACAGCTACTTCTGTATAACTATTTCAGACCTAAAGGAAAAATAACCTGGGATTAGCCATTTCCTTCCCCTTTCATCTGCTAGCGACATTGATCAACAAGCAAATGCCCCACCACCACACAGACCCTTAACAGCCCTTMGTTTGTGTGACCCCTCTCTACGAGCGTAGTGTTTGCGCTGCTTTGTCAGACCCCACTTGAAAGTACGACATGTTTACGCTAGAGGCGTTGATGGCTAACACAGGCCTCGGCTCAGCTGCACACGCAGGTCGCTGTCACCGAGGAATGCTCTCCCTGATTTATGGCCACCTTGTAGTTATTCAGGTGGAGCAGCAGGACCTGGCAGCCAGGGCCATCGCAGACATCAGAAGCATTTTAAGTTCACAGCTCAGGCATTGCTGCAGTGGAAACCACGTGCTATCTTTAGCATGAAAAGCAGTCYCCGGAGAGCAGAGCTGCCCTCTTCCATAGGTCTTACATGCACTGGCTGCAGGAGTCCTGCTCCACAGCAGGAGCACAGCAGGTGTGCTGATCCAACAGCACCAAGATGCTAACACTGGCCTGCAAGGTGGACTCCAACACCCTTCTGTGATAAAAGACCAGAGCAATCCACTGCCCCCAGATACCCCCTTGAATTGCATTGAAGGACTCACCTCCCCTTTCATTCCACTGTATTTATAGAGATAAATMATATCTAATTCAGCCCTTATGCCAGTGTAAGGGACAGTGGCATATCATGTACCCAGTTAAATAAGCACATGTGCATTCTTGGCTCAGATATAAGTATCCAAGATCAAGCATAACAAGTCTCATTTTTCAGGATCCACCACGGTCTTTGAAGAGTCACAGGCTCTTCTATAATGAAGACAAGAACAAGCTGTTGCAAGGATGCGTTTCACAAGATTGAAACGAGCATGACTTGTATCAGAGGCAAACCACGCTGAGTACAAGAGAAGTGATGCTCCTCAGTCATTTAACYGAGCCTGCACTGCTTACCTATTCACTGGTCTGCCACACGCCTCTTACAGGGTCATCTGCTTCTCCTATGGCAGGATCTTGGCTGAATCCTTCAAGGACAGRGGTTTCACCACTGAAGGCACTAGTGAATCAAGCTCCCCTGACAGCAAGGAAGGATTGGCAGCTTGTTCACACCTGAAGGTCACCTCTTGCATGGAAGTGTTTAGCTTCATTTTCTTATGCTGTTATAAGCAGCTCCCATGCTTTTAGTTGGCCATTACAACAATAATCTTGACCTCATCCAAAATCCCAGGTTGAATTAACAAGTCTACAAATTGAGAAGGAGTAAGTCCTTCCTTGTTTGAGGAAGCACAGAAAGTCACCAGAAAGCAAGTTCTCCCCAGCATTTCTTAGGCTAAGTCACCTAGAATCATTTTAAATTCAAGCAAGACCATTTCAGATATCCCTCTTGTCTTAAAACCTGGGAGTAGTCACTCCACATAAAGACTGCTTCATTAGAAAGAGTTGTGAGAAGGAGTTCTTAGGAAACATAACTTGAGATTGAGCTACTCATTGCTACAGCAAGCACATCAGAACACACCACATAATTCACCAGGACAGTAAAAGCCAGTAACACCTTCATTAAATGTCAATTCCTGGCCTTCCCCCCCCCCCCTCAATTAAAGCAGAAATCCCCTGCACAAACACCATTAGAGCAAGTCATAGTTTAACTTAAAAACAAGAAAGCCAGAGGAAGGTTGCAGTATCAAGCCTCTATTTAGTAACAGGAGCCCAGTAGAGCACAGCACAGGACTGGGCCATTCCACCAAGCTTTCCAGACAAGTAATTGACACTTACAYAGTACAGAATAGTTACCTTCTACACAGGTAGCAGCCAGGCATTAGAGAGACATCAGCAAGAACATTAAGGAAGAGGCCAAGCACTTCAGCACCTCTGGAAAACTAGACTGAGAAAAAAAACAAACAAACAAAGATTCAGTGCACTATAAAACATTTAAGTGTTTTTCTGTAGCATCTTTAAGCATTAAGAGTTACATTTCAGAAGTTAGTGAAAGAAGTTCCTTTCATCAACTGCAATTCCCAAAATATAACTTAAGCCTCAGAAGTTAGTCACATACATTACCACCATAAATGGGAAAAGCAACCAACAAAAGCCAYATACCAGAAAATTATTATCAAATTTCTTGAAGTTAGAGACCATACCACTATTTTATCCTTCAAGAAAGATATAAAATTCTTCAGTTACTATTTTAACATAAAAGCACCTTTTCAAAGCACATTCCTCAAAAAACTCAGCAGCACCTTCAACCCTTCTTCCTCTAAAAAGCTCCCTACATCCACTACTACCCTTTCCCAGGAGCTACTGTGCTCCCCCTGCTTCAGCACCCACCTTTTATCGTGCCTTATCAGGGCTCGTCACCCCACCCGACAGCCGCCACCTGCGGCCAGCCGGGCCCAGTGCGGCATCCCCGGCTCTGTAAGCAGCTCTGAGCACTTTGCACGGGGCATGGAAGCCAATTCCTGTTTCCTGATCTGGCTCTTCTGCTCTTTAATCAATAAGAATTGATTATCACCATTAATTGATATGCAACAAATTGAGCCTGGGGACTGCATCAGACTCTGGTTTCCCAGGCAGATAAGGTTCAGRTGAATCTTATTGATGGGACATTTAGGAGAAGAGAATAAATAGGTAGCTCACTTGCAGCTGAGCTACCTATAAGAAACATTCCCTGTCATGAGGTTTTGAAGAGACTATTTTTAGCTTTCTTTGCTGACTGCACCATGACTATCCTTGAAGAAAAAGCCTTATCAGGCAAATATGAAGCTGCTTTTTTTTCTTTTTTAAGTAATGAACTTAGGCCTAGGTTTCATATTGGTGACTTTGAACTCTGACTATATTTTCTTGCTAGTACTATCCAACTATAGCAACAGATATTACAATGGTTAAGAAAAAGGTAAATGCATTAACATGCAAGTTTGATTACTCCAAAATGTTCTACTGGAAACAAGAGATTAATTTGTTTGTGTTCCTACATACAATGAAAAACAGCCAGAAGAGGCAAAGGCTAAAAATATATCAGGTTGTGAGGGCTTCCCCTCAATGAAATGTGCTAGGCTGATTGTTCTAGGGAGAGCATAAGGCTTAATTAGGCTCATTCTGATTTTTCTGTTGGATTCCTAGGTACTGAAACGCAAATATAAAGACAGGTTTGCATCCTTGCAATTGAAAAAAAAAACTGATATTATGTACAGAGTAAAAGAGTTGTCAAAAATCTGAATTTTAATTGCAGTTATGGCGTTACTATGGAAAACACTTAAGAACAGTAGGAGAGAGAAGGTTTACAACCAAGAACTACCTGTAATTGTATTGTTGGCTTGATTACTGKTTTTTTTCTTGACAATGTAAACCAAAATCTATTCTATGCCAAGTAATTTRTTTACAAAGCAAGCTGCATTAGAGTGGTCCTTACTTTGTATGTAATTCAAGGTGTTATGAATGATATAGAAAAAATAAAAAAAAAATCCTCTACAAATTATTCCTTTTCTCATTATTTTCAAAGTATAATCAGGGAATTCTAGACAAATGCTGGTCAGAAGGGACCTCCAGCGGTCTCTGGCCCAACCCTGTGGTCAGAGTATGGCCAGCAGCAGAGACATCACTCAGGACTTGCCAAGTTCTGCACGTGGCTGAGGATGGAGACGTCTCTCCTGTCTGGGTCCTGCTGTGAAGCACACCTCCGCGCTGCGGAATATTACATGGACTTTTCAATTTATTTTCATATTGTATGTGCAAAATTGAAGTGTTTTAAAATAATACTGTCCCCAAACTGAAGTGCCTTGCAGTCAAACACCACAGTCTTGGGCTGTCAGTCATTTGATTGCTCAATCGTGTCAGTATATGACTCCCATTTRTAATTTTAGATAGCCTTTCTGTAAGGAATGTAACTGAATGTTTTTCATGCTGCCAAACCACAGGTGATAAATAAACAAATWAACACACAACACATAGGAATACCAATGGAAGATGGTAACATAGAATCTAGGCTGGATGGATTTTAGAGAGGTTTAATAAAATTATCTGAACCCGCATCCACATAAGCAAGGGATTGTTTCCAGGTTGAATACAGAATAATTTAGGCTAAGATGCCATCTAAGTTGAGCCGCTTTCTCAGAGCATGGCTAGCACAGCAAAGTTAAAACCAGGGGTTCTCAGCTGAGGATCACCTTTAAAAGAGACACAATCTTTTCAGTGTTTCAGTTCCAGCTCTGTCAATGTTTTTTATAGCCCATCAAYAGCCATGTGAAATATCAATTTCTTTTGAGGTATAAGTCAGGAGTAATACAGTTGACATATGTCAGTTTACCATTTAAAGCAACTCATTCTTTTTTAAAAAATGACACCGCTCTGTAATCGCTCCTCCAAAAAGCTCATGCTTTAAGTTATCAGTGCAAGATGCAGAGATAAAACGCTTTTAATGTTTTTGGTGACAAATCAATTCTACGTGAAATTATATAATAGCAGCAAAAAAAAGCCACTGGCACCTATCAGGAGTCAGTGTCACCTATCTGGAGTCAGTCAGAGCTTTTCCCACTCCTAACATCGCATCGCCATCTAAGAGCATCTAAGATTAAAAAGAAATGAAATTATTTGGAGGGTTCTCACAAGCCCCCAACAGTTGTCAGCACGTGCCATTCACACTGACCACAGGGCACTCGCAAGGTATCACGCTGGGCTATGTTAACCTGGCTGGGCAATCTCATTTTTGTTCCAGGCTGTAGGAAAGGAAACAAAATTCCACTTTTTCACCCAGCAAAATGCTTTTAGCTCCATACAAATTTGTCATAACAACAACACACTTGATGTACAATCCATTGCTGGCTTCAATCTGCGTTCAATACAGACTGCTAAAATGCCTTTGTCATTTTGWTATGCTACACTGATGTATGGCACCTTTATGGATCTGTTTCACTCCCTTATGGTGGGTGTAATTCAAACGTATTATGCAAAGGAACAGTCCCACGTGGGACAGCTTAACCTACATATCTGGATGTATAATGTACATCCAGAGTATCGTGTAGTCAAAGCTAATTAAATGCTCCATGTTCACCATCATTCTGCCATTACAAAGTTGACTCCCCTTCCTCTCGAGGGCTTTCTCCTCTCTGTGCCATTCCTGATTTCCTTCCGCTGGTGTCCAAAGCTCTGAAGCTCTCTGTGTGAACACAGGCTTGCTCCCCAAGCCTACCAATACCTCCAGGTAGGTTTGCCTGAATTTCCCGCTCYGTTTCCTTCCAAAGGTTACACACCGTGCGTTTAGTCCTGAARATCTGAATTGAACAAAACTCCTCGGTGCCTTCTGAAGTGGCTCCATAGACATTTGTTGCTGGCCACCCTCCTGCTTCACTCCCCAGGTCCTGTTTATGGGATCAAGGTGCTGGGCCTACCTTCGTGCAGTATCTCCTCCTGTCTTAGTGGAGCACGGCCAGGGAGCGAGCAGACTACAGTGCTCCTGATGCACCCAGAGTCCYTTCTGCTTTTCTAAGCAGCAGCCTAGGCCCGTGAGCAGAGAGGTAAAGCATAGTCAGCCACAGCTGACACTGTCTATCTCCCAGCAACAGGACATTAATAACCATTAACGAAATGCTATAAAGTTCCAGCATGATGTCAGTGGCATTAACCTCTGTCAATCCTGCATCACCACTGGAGAATGACTATTTTTAGTTTTTTGTTCTTTAAAACGTACTTCWGAAATATGCCATAATGTTAAACACAACAGCGGCTACTTAGGATAGCTCTTCTTTTTCTAATTTTGACAAAGAAATGCCAGTAATCAGCAGTGACTTTATGCCAAGCAACAGCTGGATTTATCTCATTTAAATCTTTTCACTGAGGTTAAAAAAAAAAAAAAAGACAAACGAAATACTTTCAAACTCTACAAACTTGCGAGCTACTTTTGAGAGCTACTGCTTAGGACACGCTACCTTCTAGAGCAAATAGGTGCAAGAGATTTGGGAGGATTGACAGCTTATGTGCAAATTACTCTTGAAATGGAACTTTTTTTAAAAAARGCTTTACTCCTCAAAAGAAACCAAGAAGTTGATGTGTTATAGTCCTTCAACTGAAAATTGAAAGAGTGTGTGCAGGATGTGCCACCCCTCCAGCCTGTTCTAGTGTCACACAAGACGACAGTCACCCCAGGTTTCTCCGTACCAGTGAACAGCAAGGTGATGAAATGCAAATTGGCTCTGTACAAGYTCGCACCAACCGCAAGGAGGGCAGCGGGGTGAGCTGGGAGCTAGCAGAGCAGCATGAGGCTGAGGGAGGAGATGGCAGGAGGGAAAGAACACAACATTTGCAATTCCTCAGCCCTGTTGTGGACTTCCCAGGAAAAGGTACATCCAGCTTTAAAACAGCTCTTATGCATACTCTCTAGCAGAGGGCAAACCTGCCAACAGTACCTGAATGTGGGAGATAAACCCCCACAGCTTCTTGCATCTCTGCAGAAACCGCAGAAGASCAAAGAACTTGGTCTCGCATCCTTTCTAATAAAAGGTAGTATTTGCCCTATAGCACAGGCACACAATTCCTACCGAAGTAGCAGAGCAGAAAAAAGAAGACCCTACATGTCCACCCCCTCCCTGGATCATAGCAGTCGGCTGAAGCAGGGGAGAGATTGGGTTTTCTGCAAAGCCTGATGCTTTGAGGCAGCAGAAGGGCAGAGCTCAACTTTATCGCTGTTGGCCCCGACACAATTTACCATTTAGAAGCTAATCCTCCTCCATCCAAGAGCACAAGGCCTGCTAAAGCTCTCGTGTCCACTTCTCTGATTCTTCATTGTCCACACTGACAGAGAGAAGCTGAAGACCTAATCAGTGTGTAATTCAATCGCGGTCCAGGCGGTGTCCCAGCACAATGCTCTGCCTGTAGTGCCACGGGTTAAGTCAGCCAGCTACTGTTATGCACCGCAGCAGGTGTGAAGAATGTCACTCGGTGTAACTCTGCGTTGCCACTCTGCCGAGGTCCATTCCCGACGCTGCTTTCACTCACCACTTAATGATTGTTTTTCCTACTGTCAGCGAGCTGATATTCAGCTGTACAGTAAAGCAGCACTTTCAGGATGTTTCATCTTGAACAGGAATTCCCACTTAGCATAGCAAGGGCCTCAAACAAAGTAAATCCCTCTGTTCTCCAGATCCCCAAAACATGGATGGCTGCTAGAAAGCTCTTTATTTCCTTAACCTCAGTCCAGGCATTAGTAAGTTATGACTTACTTCACCTGAAGGGCTGTACTCTGCTGTTCGTCACTACATGCACGGTAGGCTTTGCCACACACCTTTTGGTCACGTGCAAAATCTGGCAAGGTCCTGGGTACCCAGTTCTATTTGAACAAGTGACAGACAGACTCTTCAGAATCTCTTACTCATGGGTAGGCTGTTAGAAACCTCTGGAAACCTAGAGTGGATGACTGACACAACTGCTGCTACAGGTCTCAGGTACCTCTGAAGACTGCACTGGACTTCTTACTTTTACTACACCGGTGGCAGTAGAAAGTTGCATTTCCAGTTTTCTTGATTCATGTAACAGTGCAAGGAAACTGAGGAAGAGGAGCGCAGAGACTGAAGGCAGAGGAACGCAGAGCAACACACCTGCTGCTTCAACAGAGATGAAGCAGCAAGAGACGCTGTGCAGCCCCCAGCCACGGTACTGGGGAGATGACACAGTGGGGAACTATCTGCTGAATTATCTTGCTSATAAACCCACAGCAAGACAAGTGACCTGTAAACTACTGAAAGTKCAGGGGAAAAGTGGCAGTAAATAAAAGCAGATCAAAGGACACCTTCTTTACACACAGATGTGTATCACAGTTTTAATAGTCCTAAGTGATGTTCTTTCTTGCATAACAGTGATGTGACCAAGAACTGTGAGAAAAAAAAAGGGGAGCTAAGAACCACTAATATCTACTGCATCTGTTTCCTGAACAGCCATGAGTATGTTTTCCTGGGAAGTTTCTGATGCTGCTTCTCTAATTCTTCACCTGTAATGCGGAAGTAATACAAGCAGGAAGAGCAGTCAGTGGAAGGGCTACGCTGTAACATAAATTTGAACAGCCTACAACAAAGGAACAGTTTTAGTCCTAAAGAGCTCATAACTGAAGTCATCTAGTTAACCTGATTAATCCGATAGATAAATGAAAACCAAAATAATTTTGTTGCTCCCACATATATTGCCTTGCAGCTATGTATTTTTCTGTCCAGAGTCTTTCTATGTCATTTTTAAATCCYTGAAGGCCAGGAAGAGGAGGGAGGAAGATCATCCAGCTCCCCGGCACTTGCTACAAAAAAAAAATCAAAATTTTCATTATTCAAAACATGCATCAGACCATCTGTACTTAAGATGTCTAGCAAGTCTTGCTCAGCACTGAAGCCAAGCTGCTCAYTTCAGCCATCCTTGTCCACTGTCATCACTGACGGCTGATTTCCAAACATGGCCAGACGCTGGTTTACATGGCCGAGGTCATGAGACATTCTTGCATCCTGATTCAGGATTTAGCAACGTCGTGCCAAGCCTTAGAAGCACGCAGAGCATTTGCAACTGAGCACCTGCGGAAATCSCATTTCCTGACAAAGAGAGCCCTCCAATATCCATATTTTTCTCCTGGGCTAAGACTATGGTGTAATGAAATATGGCCTAAATAATCCCTTTCATAGCTACGCAGGGGAACGTCCTTGCTCAGCATTTACCTCTCCTAATGGGCTTTAGTGGGAACTTGTTGGAGAACAGAGATATAGAGTGCAAAGCCTAGCTGATGGAATATGGCAGAAACTGTGCTCAGGGCGGGCACACAAAATAAACGTGCAGGTTACCAACCAGAGCAGCAGGAAGGACTCTGGCAACAGTGGTGAAGAAAGATCAGGGGACAGGAACCTAAAGAGTCATATAAAATATGGTGGGTGTTGTGATGGTGACATTGCGAGGCACAGGAAAAAGAGGGGGCAGTCATGAAAATAAAAAGGTAGAGAGAAACAATAGTTTCATACAGTCTTCCTGTGCCCCACTCCTCAAACTCTGGGTATTGTACCTCAACCCTCCTCCAGATGCCCCCAACTTGGCCTCCTCATCCTGTAGCTCCCTGCATTCAAATCCTCAGCCTGTCTGTGCTCTGTCCTCTTCCCTTGCTGGCTTCGGCCTTTTGAATGTGAGGCCCATGCTACCGTATCCAGCAGAGACGGAGCCTGAACACCGCTCTGCCAGGCAGCTCGCTTGAGCGTTACACCAACAGCTCCTTACATCGAACACTGCCAATTCTCCAAGTTTCTCATACACACTACCATGTACTTCAGCTGACKAGATGGGTCTGAGAGCTTGCAGGTCAAGCATTTATAACGGACCTGCTGGTCTCGAGTCATCGCTCAGTCTGGTTTTGGGAACCATGACCCTTCGCTGTGCTGTGCAGGCTCAGTGTGTGAAGGACGASAGCCACTATCCCCATTTCCACCAGGCAAGTGGGGTGATTCTACTCTGCTAACTGCTGTTTCACACTCCTCCTTGCCTTCTGCTGATGTGCTATTGCTATGGGTCCTGTCAGGGGACCTACCCCTCCTATTGGCCATGGCAGTGCACGCTCAAACAGCTGCWGGGGCTGGATGAAGCACCTGCTCTGGGCAACAGCAGCTGGAGTTCATTTTGGGTCCAAAGGGCTGGGGCCAAGCAGGCTGACCGCATGTGCACTAATCCGGTATCATCACCGCCGCCACCAACAACAGCTGCTCTTTGAAGAGGGAGGGGAAAACTATTTGGGGAGGAATCAGAGCTTTATAAAGGACAATATGGGCCAGGTCCTCAGCTGGTACAGACCCAGTTAAAGCACATATGCTTGTGAAGTTGTAAGAATCATRCTCATACACATTATTAAAAGATTTGCCCCACTCTTAGTGCTGCTTCTCTTTTCTTTTTGTTTTTCCTATCCCTCTTTGCTCTGAAACGATCTTCCTTTAAAAAGCAAAGTAAACTTGCTTGTCTCTTGCTTCSGAGCATACAGCCCAAAGTGATAGGCTGCATATACCAGACTGCCATATCCTCCTCTACACAGGCAACAAGAATGAAGCTTTTATTAGCGCCTAGATGATGTGCCCCTTGTTTCTGCTTGCCTCCCACATCACGGGCATGCGTTAATGGGACACGGGAGTTCTCACCGTGTAACATGTCAGAGGCAAACACGGTCGAGGTTCCCTCAGAGAAGCTGCTCGTCCTGAGCACCGTAAGGCCAGTGAACACATAGCCCACATAGTGTGTTATTTCAGTCAGTGGTCATGACTATGTGATTTGGGAAGAGCAAAAGAAACTGGCACAGGCATAAGCTTAGCTGCCTTCAAGGAAAATTTCTTACCTCTTTTAGCTAAAAGTTGGTTTATGACCCAAGCATATAAAACTCTTCTCTAAGTCCTTCCTAGTATACTAGTGAGAAATGCCCCTGCTTTCCTGGGGAACCATGGTACGGAAGCCTCAGACACAGAGAGTTGGCGCTTGCCTAAAGCAAAGGAGATGGCTGATTTTTTTTACTAGCACCTAAAAACAGTCCTAGCAGAAAAAGTAATATCTAATTCACAGTACTATTTACTCCTCACTCACAAGATGTGCCAATGTAAATTGTACTTGCCCATCCAAGTAAGTCCTAGACATTTCACTCTGACAACACTGAGGTACAGGCTGACAAAGCCATTTCCTTATCAGCCAAAAGATTTGCAGAACTGTGCTGAAATGTCCGTGGCTAGAGGGATATTCTCAGCTGCTGCAGTCCCACAGGTTCCCTCTGAGGCTTTAACCACAATTCCAAAGTTGAAAACTATCAAAGTATGTGTAACATATACAGAAAGCAGTATTGTCCAGTTACACACCTGTTTTGTCCACATATATGCATATATGCCTAAGGGAACTGCATAACAATCAGCATTTGCACTCTTAACTATCTGTATGGAGCAATATAGATACCTTCCTATGTGTTACATCCTTCAGAATGAAAGGAARCTGCCAGGGAGCCCTATTCTACCGCAACAGTGTATGCAGACCGGACCCTACTATGGGAGCTACTGTGCAAGAATTTTTAAAATGATATTACCCTCACCTAGAAAAGTGCTCTTTTCACAACAGTATGCTGCCTGCAACAATCTATGAAGTGCATTGTTCTGATCTAGAAACAATACAAAGGAGTAAAAAACACCCCTCGCCTCTGACRGGCACACAGCCCAGCCAGACCCTCAGAATCCTCTCTGCAGCTTGCACATTTCATGCAGACCAGCTGCACAGGATTTAATTGGGCCAGTTTGGGAGTATCAAAGCTAACTTTTTTTTTCTCTTTGCCCCAGGCAGGCGGTTAGTAGGCAGGATTTAAATCAGAGAACAAGCCGTTCTGTGAAATCTGTAAATATTCAGCACAATCTACATTTATATAAAGGATAGCAACTGTAACTAGTAGTTTTAAACTCAAAAAGTAAAACATTTCACAGCAGTATTTCTTTTGCGCAACATCAGTGTCCTAAAGACCATAATAAGTAACCTCTCAACACTATCAACTAATGTTACTGGCTGCCTTAAGTGACATGTCCCTCATGAAGTTATGAAGTTACACTTCATAATTCCAATTATGAGGGGAAGGTCGCACAGTTCCTCTGCATTAACACATTGAGTTCACAAGTGCTCTGTTCAATACTTGCAGATTCACTCAGAAGACTCTGCCTGAGGCCTACTGCCATAAACAGCCTGCACTCTAACAGCTATTGTTGTATTTAAAGCCATTAAAATGGCAACAGACAGAAAATGATAGGAAAAGGCTAATATATAGGTGGTGCACAAGTGTAGTTTGGAGCAGAGAGCAACAATAAAGGCCCATTTGGTGACCAGAGGTGGAAGATGCACTATTCATTAGGAGTTAGCATAATCTTTAAAGCATATAAATTTTGAGCAGAATTAGCCACTTCTGCTTTTTCTGATTCACCTCTACAGAATCCATATTAACACACAATTTAAAATAAACATTTAGCAGATGAATATTCATACTGTATTTTCTAAGCAAGGGCCGTGAATGACTCTTTGCTCAAAACTCATTTTTGATTCTGAGAAGGAATCAAAGAAGTTTCACTTTCAAGTGAAAACTGRGGAAAGAGCTCATTTGTGATTATTCAGTGAATAGAAAAGCTAAAACATTTTGAGTAATCTCATTCTCACCTGCAAATGTTTTTCACACCGCTCACTCCTGGGGCATCTTGGTTTCAATTTCTTTTTTATCAAGCCAAGCAAGTGCTGCCAGTCCAAATCCCAGGAGAGCCTGTATGTCAGAAGCACTGTGAGTACCTGAAAGGACCAAAGAACATATATTGTCATGAACATATAAGACAATAAATGGTTTATAGGCTTTTGTGCCTTGACTGTTGTTAAGTTCCATTAAGCTTAAGAAGCTCTGAGGATGTGCAGAGGGTATCTGCTCATGCTGACCCTGAACAGCTCTTCCAAGGGCCACATAGAGCACAGAGCTMATGTACCAAGGCTTGCACTGCCTGGCAGTCATTTCCTGTAGTCATCAATTTCACACTACAGCAAAAAAAGGAACTGCCTTTCTTAACACGTCAACTTATTCTCTCATTGGCCAGAAAACTGATGGAGATTCTTATCCTTGGCTTTGGAAAAGAAAGCAAAAGAGGAGGGTAAGAGATACAAATTATGAGAGCCTTCAGGCAGCTTGGGGTTGCACAAATCCCTCACACAACTCACTGCCTTCCTTAGAAACCTGCTTCAGTGCTGCGATTCAGTGGCTTCAATCTGCAGTAAGGGACTGGCCTTACAATGTGCCATGCAAGGACTGTAAGGACGAGCCTTAGATTTGTTGGCCTAATCTTGTTTAAATTAATCTAGAAAAAACAATTGCAAAGCTCAGAGGCAGAAAACTCCTGCCATTTTTTTATCACTTGCTCCTAAAAGCAGCCTCTTGAAAAATCAGATGGGTAGTGGCAACCGGTAGTCACTTGAGATTAACAGTCCACTTGCAGCATAAGCAGGTCTGTAAGAGAGGAATGAGRGAGTGAGAGGCCAGGTACCGCCCTGCAGCCTGTTCTGCCTGCGGCCCCTGTGGCCCCGAGGCAGGCGCTCGGGCAGGGTGCACGGACGCCTGCTCCTGAGCAGCCTCTCCCAGCCTCTCCTCAAGCCAAACCGCAGGGAGCTGCCGGAGGGCTCCCAGTGGCAGGGCTCTTAAAGACACAGATGGTGAGAACGGAYGAGGTGGCACACTGAGCGACTCGGCATGCTGAACAGCCCGGGAAACGCACGGGGAGAAGGCTACAGCAGAACTGCTCAGTGTACCCGAACTGTCAGCATTCAATACTGTTATTGCAAGGAGCGGGACGTGCTTAAGAGAAAATAAACAGACATATGGTGCTTAGATGAAAGTTTGCTGGTAGTAGCTACAGTGCAGTTTTACATGAAATTCCAGCATTAAGAACCTGCACACGCGTACAGTCACACAGGCTCAAGCACAGCCCCGTGCAGCTCGAAGAGAACAAATTCTCTGCTGACAGAAGAGTCCCACAGTGAAAGTCAGCATTAATTACGGGTAATCCAATTTGAACACTACAGAGAAAACCAGCATGAATTAGGAAGTCCTTCTAGCGCTTTGCATACAAGATTAAAGATAAGTGTTGCTTGCATTTCAGAAACTCTTAAGAGCTTGTCTTCTACATTTGTGCTTAGACACAGCGTGCCAACATGCTGTGGGCATATTATGTTTGAAGTTAAGAACAGATTTCAATAACCGTCGAAGACTTCTGTAAGTAACACGATGGTTAGTATTATCCAACATTTGGAAAGCTCCTTATGTATGGACTTCACTGAAAAAAAATCAGTTAACATATTACATATCTGTGCTATGCAGACTTGCATCCAAGAAATCTCTGGAGCTAAATGACTGGAGACACCAGTGACATCAGTGAAAGGTCACACTGCTGTCAGCTACTGATGCAAAGTGGGAAATCCAAATGATGGAAAAAGGCRTTACTGCTTCCACATCAACTGAAGAATATCCTGATATATCTCAAATAATAATGTGTGCTTTCCATATTCAAAAATATCAATGACAAAAGAAAATCTAAATTGTCTAGGAAAGTGGACAACAAAAACCTAAGCTTTGAAGTATTTGAAGCAAGTGTCAGAAAAAGACATTTTATATGTGGCTTCCAGAACTGAAATAAATGCCAGCATTTTTCATATAGGATTTTATTGTGATACTTTATTTATGTAAATGAAATATGCAGGCGTGCGTAGCCAGGGCAGGGCACAACCACACAGCAATGTTCAGTTTACGTGGGTCCAAAGAATAGGCTCCCCTGTGCTCTGTTTGGTGTCAACAAGAACTAGGTCACTGGCTTCAGAGGAGTAAAGCTCTAAATTTTACCTCTCAGAATCCTTGTTTTACATTGCTGAAACATGCCGATTTCACAGTGCTGTAAAGTGGAAATTCCCCAAACTTTTTAATTTACTCAATGACACAGAGACAGAAAGTATTTCCTAGTAAGTCCACCTCACAGCTTAGTCACATTTTGTCATCCCAGGGCCATCTCATGTTTTGTGGATGGTAACTTTTACTGCAACACAGCTGAAAAAAAAAGTTATTTTTCTATGTTTACTTAAGCTGTAACCTTCCAAATTTCAGGTTGCCTTTTTTTTTTCCCCTCTTACTTTATGAGTCATGCAGTGCAAAAAGACAAACAGCTCAGAAGTCTTGCTGGCTTTTCCTCCATGGAAAAAGGAAAGCAGAAAGAGTAGGATCAGACTGTAACAGTGAAATGATGCACCTGTTGAGAATGGCAAAGCATATGGATATATGGCTTATGTGACTTTGAGTCCAGCACTAGCAATTGTGAATTCACGGGTGCCCATATGAATAATTTTCCATTTCCTGCCACAGAGCTCAGGTTGCACTCAATTACAAAGTAAAATCATGAATGGAGAGGAAGGCTGATTTACAAGAATATGCACCATATATTTGCTTAGCTATTTATTGCTTTATTCTTCGCACAGCCCTCAGTTTTCATCACAGCTATTGACGGGCACTGAATAACCACTTAAGGAAAAAGTCTGGCATCCTTGRACATACAATTTGCAAAGCACACAAAAAATCTGCCGCGGCTAGAAAGGAGCTAACAGATGGTGGTGGCTGGACAGAAGCAACAGTCATAACTTTTGCTACCTGCGGTTGAAGGATAGAAAAGTAAACTCCAGGTTGCAACGAGCAGCTTAAAGAGCCCAATTGTAATTGACAAAGAACAAAGAAAAACTAAAATTAAAAGATTGCAAAGTGGCCTTGGCAGAAAGTATATTTTCAGATGATTGTTAAAGCCCAGTCCTCCCTGCTGAACTCTGCCAAAGATTAAAAACAAGGTGTGTGGGTGCAGACAGGGGCTGTCTGTGCAAGAAACAGTCCTTCACAGGGATTATAACATGTGTGGCTGTTTGGTGTTCTGCTCTGCTGTATCGCTTGAAATACTGTTTATGTTTTCTATCAGAATCATCCTAAACCATGAAAATTAACCAACACTCCTTTCACCAAGGCATGTGCCTAACATGCATTTAAACACTTCTGGATTATGGGAATGGGTAGGATTAACCCTGTCCCCATCCTATTTACAGACCCCTTGCTTGCAATGCGTTTGTATGGAACTGGCCACTGGGGTTTTAGGGGCTTGTGCTTGGTTTCAATTCTTGCTTCCCTCATTCAAGAACTGCTACTTTCACCCCCTTCAGCCCAACAATAGCTGTTCACGTAGGTAAGCTGTACAATACAAACTTCAAGATTTAGCGAGAGTAGGGATCTAATCCAGATTCCCCGGCTGCAAAAAAGCCACATATAGATATAGTTACCCAAGTGTGTCATAACTTTTCCAAAGCACACTGCTCGGGCGAGATACCTAAGACTTCCCCCTCACTTGGAGGCAGGTGGGAAACAATTCATCTCTTATCTTCAAACCCTCTACCCCTCACAGAGCAGCTGCACTTATCCTATGCCAAGCTAAGAAACTGAACAAGGTACCCATCTCCCAGGATACAGCTAGGAAAACCTACTCTTACAGGAAAACCAACTCTTAACACCACAACTTTTTGGAGGACAGAGGCAAATTATACTTTTGCAGGCCAGCTACAAACATGATCTTACTCTATGTAAGTATAAGAARCTCTAGGTTATTTTGTAATGGTATGTTTCCATAATAAATATTATAGTACTAATTACTTGAATTTCATTTAGTTCTGTGATTCTACGATTCGCAAAACAAAATAAATTGAACATCAYTTTCATAAAAAAGACAGTTTTGAGAAATGTACTGGGATTATGGAAATTTGGGGTCAAGTTCTGAGATCATCCATAAACTTCATTGCTGGCCTTAAGAAAAATCTGTGAGTTTTAGTTCTCGCTCACTGAAAAGGAATAATTTAGATACTGATTTCTGAAGGACCGTGTGYGATCAGGAGTTAATATGAGCACGTACGAACATGTATTCACTGATATTCTCAGAAATTACTGCTGTCAACATGAAAACCAACCTAACAAATAAAAAGCAGCTGTCATCTTTCCTATGGAGACACCAGCTAACTCGCTTTCAATTTCAAATTTTCTGGACTACACACCTACTGGGAGGTCACCGAGTACCCTGCTCATATTAGGATGTCAGTAATACACATCCATACATCACACCTGCTCAGCTTTTCCTGAGAACCACAACAAATTATCCTGTTGTAGCTGAACACTAGCAACTATTTTACTGTCTGCAATCAACACCATCCTATGAGGGGAACTAAMGAACGCTGTTTGAAACACATCTTTCCAGCAGAAGTCTCTAGTGCTATTAGAAAGTCCTTCAGAGCAGAGTCATACACAGTTGAGCAGTCTAGCACATATATTACACCTCATGAGCTTAAGCACTTACTTTAACGCTGCAAATACTTATGCTCATATTTAAATAATGTGAGCTGCTTTACTTGTCTTGTGTTTTTTAAATGAGAACTTCCCATTTTTTTTATCTTGTGCTTTTTTATCTTGTGTTTTTTAAATGAGAACTTCTGCTTTTGAAGCAGAATCTTCTCATTTAACCACAATGTGCAGAGTCAGAGGCAGGTGAAAACCGAACATTAGGGCAGGCAAAGCGCTGAGTGCCGGGAGCGGTGGAGGCGTTAGGCTGGAAACACTTAAGGTGGGCAATTTCCTGGCGTTTTCCACGGCTGCTCTCGCATGGGAAGGTGTGTCTCGCATCGGGCACTCACATCGGGTAAGGATCAGGGGGCGCGGGGCGGGCCGGGGTGCGGGGAGGCGCGCGCGCAGCGACCGTTAACGGCCGTTAGCGCGGCCCCGCGCCAAGCGGCCCCGCGGGACGCTGCCCGCCTGCCCCGCGCACCGCCCGGCCGCGGGCGGCCGCGTGCGCCAGGCCTTCCCGCCCGCCGTGGAGGAGGCGCTGTGCGGCCTCACCGGCGCCCTGCTCGAGCTCGCCTACTGCCTCCAGGCGCTGGTAAGCGGCACCGCCGCGGCCGCGGCCTCGGCCTCTGCGCGGGGGGCTGCTTGGGGCTTCGCTTGGCTTCACCCCGCGCCACAAAGCAGCGGGCGAGGGCGCCCGGCAAGGAGTCTGCGGGAGAGCCTCATCCCTGCGGGATGCCTGCTGCTTGGGGCTCCCCGATCCACAGGCAGGGCCCTCAGGCACATTTAAAAAGCACCCCAGTGTGAAACTTACCGCTTCTGGCTGCTTCTCAGCTTCTTGGAGTATATATTTAATAGCAAAGACACTAAAATTGAGAAGCAGGATTATCGGGGGCAGCACCTGCTGAGAGGCAGGGCAAGCAGAGCTCGAGTGGGGGGCCGAGCCCCTCTGATGAACCCAGGGAAAAGCTCAGTGTGCAGCAAAACCTCAACCTGTTCAGTGTGCGAATTAAAACACTGCTACTGACAGGCAGCCAGGCTACTGACTAGAAACAGACTATGGCCATCTTAAAAGCAGATAATGACTTTAACAAAACCTACCTCCATGGTTATGTAGGTGTGGAAGCTTGGCTTCCAGCAGGCTTACAGCTGGTCCCTCTGAGTGAGAGTGCTGCAAAACGTTCAGTCTTGATTCTCCTGTCAATAGAAATATGAATGAATGACTCCGGAAGACTATGCAAATTATACTGAATACTCTCAATAAACATTGCAGCGTGTGCTTTCTTTTGAACAGCATGAAGTGGGGTGTGTGTCACTGGCTTCGGGCTTGAGGTATCCCAGATGGTCATCAAAACATGAAACACAAACACATCATTATGTACATAACCTTTTCTTTTTTTTTTTTTCTCTCCTTTTAAGAGAAGGGCCACATAGGTGAAATGTAGGTATTTTATATTGGCTCACAATAATGAGGGAAGGAAGGGAAGACAGAGCTAGAGAAATTCATGATGAAACTCATGAATTCAAATTTCCTGTTTTCCCCCTCCTGGATATGCTACAGGCCAGCAGTTTAATCAGAGTCAGCACGCAGACGCTGTGCTGCTGCTGTGTGCTTGGGAACCTGTGTGCTGGTATTTTGTAGCTGTCAGTTCTAAGCATGTTCCCCGCTGCTGCCGGTGATATCAAAGTTGTGCAGAGCCCCAGCTGAACCTCTCTGCAACCTGTCGCCTTCGGGTGTTATCTGTCCCTCCAGCACCTTCTCTTTATGCTATTCTCCCTAGTGCAGGCAGGAGCTCGGCATCAGCCTGCCACACCATGCATAAAATCCATCCAGCAGAAGAGCTAACAGCTCTGTTAGCCTAGTTAATCTCCCRTTGATGGAAGCTACTTTCCCATAGAGGAAACCCAAACAAACCCTGCAAAGTCCTCTCAGGCATGAGCTGTGCCCTGCCACTGAGCTATACTGTGCACACCTTCAATATTCTTTTTGCTATAAGAATGATAGGAATAAAGGAGCTGATAAACATGTACAAAATTGTCCTTGTTTTTCTTTGGCATTTGCCTCATTCTTCTCATACCTTTAAAAGACATCTTTTCATAGGAATGCTGATCTGGAGGGATGAATCCCATGTCCTCTATTTTTCTGGCTCAACCAGCAAGACTATTCAATTTTCTAATGGAAAATAAACAAACAGAGGATTGTGCCCTTACCAGTTCCAATACCTAAAAGAGGGGAATGCTGCTGCTTGATTATAGTGGGTGGAGGATCACAGTATGTGCCTCTGTAGTTACTTTTTCTTTCCTAAATGCACGTCTCCTACGTGGTATCTTGCTAGTATGTCTCCTAATGAGAGAGAACATCAATAATAGTCACCTGCCTTAAAAGACAGAAGGTGTGCTAGTAAAAGTATACTTTTTTAATTTAGAATGATTTCATTTAGTGCAGAAGTTTGAAGGAATACAATCTGCAAAATGATTAAGCTGGTAGAGCAACTTCCTTTGGAAATGTCTCCTGAGCTCTGACTTCAGCTGCGTGCTGCTGCAAGTGTATCCCATCTTCAGCAAGCTTTAATTCTATGGTTGAATTTTATTTGCTTAGGGTGAATTTTTTGATCAGTCACACGTGGCCCTACCAAATGTTTCCAAGTTCTTTCTGCATCAAGCTATGGAGGAGAGAGAAGCTGCAGAAGCTTTGATGAAGTATCAGCAAGAAAGAGGAGGCCACTACTGTTCTAGAACCATCCAGGTGTGTAGCAAACAGCTTCCAGTCTCTTGGACTAACCAGTAGTGCTAACTGTACTTACTGTAATTACTAACTAGTAATTAGTACTAATTACTACTAACTAGTACTAGTACTAACTAGTAGTAATTACTCTAAACTCCATTATATTGTTAATACCTCAGATTTCTGCATTGAGTTCCTGTTAGATTTCTGGGTATTGTTTTTCTGTTGTATTAGTATGCATGCTTTGGTTCTTGATTATGACTCCTAGGAGCTATCAGACATGCAGGCCTAACTGTATATGATAGCAGCTCTTGCCAAAAACGATATGAACAATGGTCCCTTTTTCTTCCACTCAGCTGGAGACTGCTGTTTCCAGTGTGCTGTAATGGATTATGTGAGTCCTCTTAAACTGTTTCAGTGCTAAATCAGCCAACTTGTCTGCCTTCCCACTGAAACAAAATAGAAGTCACTGGCATCTGAGAAAGGGATAAGGAAGCGGGAGGGAGAAGCATCCAGCTGGGAGCAGTAGCTCATCTGTTAGAATGTAGCCAAGGAGAGAATTTGAACTGGGATTTGACTCGGGCTTGCAGGTATGAGAGAATAACTCAGTTACCGGTTTAAAAAAACAAACAAACAAAAAAAACACCCAACCGAAAAAACTCCCTTGTGGAAGATTATGGGACTGATTCTCCTCTGGCAAAGTAGTATTACATAATTGAATATATCAGCTTGCTGTTTCTTGGTCTATCACAGCATTTGTTCTGCTGAGAGAAGTAAAAATAAAAAAAAAAAAAATCTATCTCGAGTAACTTTTGTAAATACTCAGTTTGCATTTATAAGGATAGGTTTTCTGATTTAAGAATGTTTATCAGGCATAGCTGCTGCTTTCTATATCTTGTTCCTTAACAAGGATTTATGGGGTCTGGCACTTCTGCATGTTTACAGCCATTTACCTCAGCAAAAAGTAACGGATGCTCCAAACTGAAGGTGCTGTTGCAAAAGCCTAGCATGTTTTGTTCAGTAGACCAGTTAAGTTACTGCAAAACAACAGTGATCATGGTAAGATGAGCCTGGTGCTCTGAATAAGTTATCTCTATGTTTGTTTCTAGAAGCCGAACTGTGAGTACGCAGTCAGTCTGATGAAAGCCCTGGAACTCGCGATGCACCAGTGGAAAACTATGACGCGGTATTTTGAAGAGCTTTACGCACTCAGCCTGGAAAATGCCGACCCGCACAGTGCGAGCACTATCAAGAAGCGATTCATYGAGCCCAAAATCCGGAAGGTCAAGCTGATGGGAGATCTTCTTGCCAATGCTCGCAGGCTCGACTGTTCCCAAGATGGCAGAAACAGTCTTGGGGATTATTTCATGGACCGCTTCCAGAAAGAGTTCAGAACAGGCGTAGATCCAGAGCCTAGTAAGAGGGGTAGCCCCTGCCCACCTCTCCAGCAACGCACAGGAGCTGCAGAGGCTCTGAAGCGCCCCCAGAGAGAATCCTCCCAGCACAGGAACGGCATAGGGCCCATATATGCAACTGTGTATTGCACTGCCTCAGTGCCACAGTGCAACGATGGGACGGGAGCAAAAGTGAAGCAGGGCAGGGAGGGACTCTAACGCTATGGCTGTTAGAGCTATGGAGCAACTCCTAAGGCTCATCTCTCTAGAGTGTGACCTTGAGACCAGCACCCAGGAGACACCCTGGGTTACTCCTGTATCACTCTCCCTTCTTTACAYCTGGCCCTCACCCTCTGATGAGCCACAACTCCAAGTCTAGCCCATACAATTGTTTAAATTGTAGTGAGATTGCTAGTCACCCAGATTATTTGTATCAATCATATTCTTATCTATGCAGTTCTTACCTAGAAGATGCCTCAGTGTAGAAACTAAAAGCCTTTAGGCCTCTCTTCGGGCTTAAATGATTTGCTAGTATTAGTTAAAGCCAATTATTTTTAAGGGTGTATACAAGTATTATTACAAGTATTATAAAAATGCTTTGGTACAGGGTCACTTTTATATGGGACAAAATCCAAAGAGCAAGCTTTATATTAAATATCTTACATTAGTATGGTAACATTATGAATTTTTTAAAAGACTTATTTTAAAGCAAGATGGATTTCTTGTCTGCTTTCTGTCATAGTAGCAACTTAAATAACTGATTTATAAGTAAATGAATTAACTTTTTTTTTTTTTTGGTATACTCCTTCACTAGGAAGGATACTAACTTTCTCAAGGTGGGAACAAGATAAGATTGTATTTCACTGCAGTTACTTACCTTGTTGCCTTTTGTAATAATCAAAAAGAGGATGAGCTATAAATCAGGGGTTCTCAGCTGTGGCCTTCACAGTTTCTATTTTACAAATACAGTCCTCAAAGGCTAGATAGTCCTCAAAGGTCCAGATACAGCCTGGGACAGTTACCTTAATTACCACACAAATGCTGTTTGGGCTGCATATGGTATGGGCTTACTGTGGTGGTAGATGACTACTGGTAATTTAGTGCCAGATCTCTGTATCTTGGCCCCAGGTGGATGAATAACATCCTAGGGAAAGTGCAGCACACTTGGCTAAAAGTGCATTACAAACGTGGCCTCCTGTGAATTTTGCATTTCAACTGGGGTGTGTGTGGCGGGGGGAAGTCATTGACACGATCGCCCTCACAACTCTTGCTTTAGCCAGCTGGGTTAAAGTTCAGGGGAGTCTAAATTCCTTCGAGCCAGCCCCTGCAGGAGTTCCTCTCTCTACCCTGACTAACAAGGTCACCTAGAAGAACAACTGACTAAATCAGCTGTCTGGAACTAGGTTTCTAAGTCAGTTATGTAGCACAGCTTTTAGGCAAGTGGCRTGTGCTCCAGTGAAAGATCAACACAAGTTCTTATGTTATACTATAACCAATAGTCTGATTGCTAAATTTGAAAATAAATTCAGTTCAACATAAAAAAATCTGCATTCTATTTACCATACCYGCATACTAATATTCTTCTCCGAGACATTTTGCAAATGTATATAAACTGCACCATTATCAGGAAACTTGCACGAGACAAATGGAGATAAACGTGGCAGAAAACTTGATTAACGTAAACACCCTTCCCTGAAACACTTGAAGTCAATTTGAATTCTACACATAGCTGCATGTAAGTGCTTATTTCTGTGCAACTGCATTAGCCCACCTACTTTCTGTAGGTTTTGTAATTCAAGACATGCAACTAAAATTCAGATGGTTTCCTAATCCCTTTCTGTTAATGATTCAGCTTTATTAGTGTGGGTGTGGATGGAGGAAATGGCATTACAACTTTCCCTATACAGTCCTAAAAAATAAACTGCATTGTGCCATAAAAATGGTTTGAAGSATTTCTAGCAACATCCTGGATTTGCCTGTGTTGTGGATGACTGGATTAGTTTAAAAGTTATTTCCATCTGGGCAAGGTTCCAGCACTCATCCTCATACTGACCATACCTTATTCAACAATTAGTTCCACTGACTCTAACTCAAYGTGAATAAGAGCAATGGAATCCACCCTTCTTGGTATTAAAATATATTTAGTATGAATGGAACAAAAATACTTGATGAATAATAAACTAATGCACTATATAAAAAAAAAAAATCAATTCCTACAACTGCCTTGTATGCTGGTAGCTTTTAACTTTCTGAAATGTAGGTAGAGTCTCTTCCACAGTTTCTTGCATGCATGCTGCCTCTTTCTTTACCTAACAGAAATCCAACACAACAGAGTCCAACATTTAAACTTTATAATGCAATACTTACTTGTCATTTCTTTCTCTTTCGAATAGTGCCAAGCATGTTCCTCAAAGAATCGCTCCTCTCATCTTCACGGCCAAAGGCGTCAGCACGTTCTCAGAATTTTAAGTCATTTCTCACRTTTCCAAAGTACCTTCTGGGCCCTCCACCTAGAGAAATAATTGCATTACTTTCAGATAGAGAAACTCACAATCTGTTATATTCCCAATCTTTATCCTCTCAAAAGGAAAATTAAATCAGCTAGTATAAATGACTGTAAGYTCTTGTCCATACGCTGCTTCTGGTGAGGGTGTGACCTCTAAGAGTTTGCTACCCATACCTGCAACACTGTGTATAGGAGGAGTGTCCCAATCTGCTCCGCAGGATATGAAGCACAGGCTGCTTCCCCTCTCCCAGCTTCCCCTGAAAAGAAGAAGATGAAGGATGCAATGCGTAACAGGCATATGGCACCACTTAATATAACTAAGAATTTGCTTCCTCTGCGGACTGCTTGCTCATGCACCCTCCCCGGCATGTGTAAATCCAAAACAATGCCCAGTCCATACAGACCCTGCATCTGTGAGGCTAAAAGAGCAAAGAAAGACCAGTACCAAAATACAGCATCCAATCTGAATGATCTAGAGAGACCTGATCTCTATTGAAATGATCAGTAAATAGCCAGGGTGTCTTCTAGACAGTGACTGGGAATCGTGTATTTCTAAATGCTGCCACAAGCACGACATAGTGTTGAAAAGAAAGCACCCTAGTTGCTGTCTAGTCTCAAAACGAGGAATCCWTAAAAATCTCTAAGTGAAGGTTGTGCTGTCCTTCATCCCCTCCACTATGGGCACCCCAAGTTGAAAAGAACATCTGAGGATTTTTTGTTCTTTGCAAAGACTCTCTCAGACTCACCACAATGCAAGATCTTTCTGGACAAGCCCATTCTTGAGAAGAACACTGGAAAGTGAATGCWAATTTTAGTGGCCATTAGTGGGGGACCAGTCATCCAAAGCACCTTTAGCGCAAGAGCATTCCACGTGTACTTCACCATCCTGTCACGGCACCCTTCTGACTTTTTCACCTCGATGACAAACTGAGATATTGCTTTTACTGGACACATATGTGCTGCCACAGGTTGAAAGAAGAAAGTCCCCAGTGCAGCAGATTGCATTGCACTGGCAATTATCTGAGCGCTCTCGTGTCACTTGTCCAAGTCCCGACACTTGTTACTGCCTTATGCAAGGCAACCACTATTTGCACAAGTCAAACATAACCTCAAAACACACTTAAAGTAGCAGAATATGCTGCAACAAATCTACGTGATGTAGACATCATGTAGATTTACCACAAACGAAACAACTAAGTTGCAGAGACCAAACATCTTCAGCCAAGTAACATGCCAGCACCAAAACCAAGCCTCGATCGCCCAGTTTACATGTGTACCTGCTACAGCACACAACCGTTCCTCCTTCAGAAAATTGCATTATTTTCAACATAAAATGTTTTTAGCRTTATTTTAGCTGTTCCAGTGGTGTTTTTTCAAAACAGAAAAGTCTGTTCATTCCTTCTGGATCAAAGGAGCTCTGTAATAACAAGAGTGTTTCCACTACTTGCTACTCTGCCTCTCAGAAACAGCTGGGAGATACATGTCTAAATGTGTTAGGGTGGTCAATAGCGGGTCTCCTTGGGACRTATCACATTTCGGCGCTGGATACCGTGAAAGAACAAAGTTGTACGCAGTCCAAAATACCTACTTTCTTGTTTAAACAAAAACTTGATCTTTTGGGGGTAATGACAGAATGTGACTAATAGCTGTTATCTTTGTCTGCATTGGAAGACATGTAAGTAAGCAGAAAATGGGGAGTGCAAATTAGGAACTCCTGCAGAAACCCAACTGTGTAACTACCAAATCGCCCACGTGACAATAACCCGCCTGAAGAGTCGCAGGACCCAAAGACTAGGCCACCGACTGACACGCTACCCTTACCGAGTCTCTCAATCCACCCTTTATCCCACCAAAGACAGAGCTTTTTGATTTGAAATGAGACAGATTTCTACCTGCACATATAACTGCAGAGGGGAGATTAACTTCACCTCGTGGCAGATAAAAGTCCCCCTACTTTAATCRTTAAATCAATCAAGTCACATAGCAGAGCCGCTGAATGCTTCTGTATCCCCCACTTCCCCCCAAAAAAAGTTAAATTTCTCAGCTCAAACAATATTCCAAAAACAGAGTAAATACTTAAATATTCTACTGAGAAACATTAAAAAAAAAAAAAAAACCCGAAGGGAACCCCAAAAAAAAAAAAAAAAAAAAAAAAAAAAAAAAAAAAAAAAAAAAAAAAAAAGCAAAAAAAAAAAGCA